TAATTCTACGTTTTCGAACAGTTTAAATTTACTTTGCATTTTATTTCAGTATTTGGTAATGCACAAGTCTCCGATCAAAAATTAAGATGTGTTATTAAACTTATTTGGTTTTCCTGTAGACCTGCAATGCTCCACAGATGACGAGGATGATGACGAGGAGGAGGACTTCCAGGAGGTCTCCGAAGACGAGAACAATGCGGCTAGCATTTTGGATCAGGGCGAACGTATCAATGCACCTGCCGATGGCATGGATAGCATGTTTGACCCCAAGAACATCAAGACAGAGATCGACATGGAGGCTCACCAGATGGCAGGTGGGTACATCCATATGAAGACTTAACTTAAGTTCTTTCTTATACGAGAACCGCATACGATAAATTAATTTGTTCTTTAAATGATTATACTTTCACTTTATACAACTTTTTTAATTATTTAAGATAATTGAATTTTCTAAACTGAAAGTTTGGTGTTGGGTATTAGATATTCTTAATAATATATTCTTAATTTAATTTCGTAATCAAGTTTCAAAATTTTTAGTATTAATATTAATTTATGTTTAATACGGTTCTTGCTCTCCCTGTTTAAGAGTACTACTAATCTAGAAACTACTTTCATTCGCTGACTTTGTTTGGATTTTTTTCTGTTTCTGATTTTACCCAAATCACCTAAGCAGAGGAGCCGATCGGCGAGGATGACAGCCAGCAGGTGGCCGAAGCAATGGTGCAGTTGAGTGGCGTGGGCGGCTACTATGCTCAACAGCAGCAAGGTCTTTATTATCCTTACTACGTGTTTGTGTTGTACCCGCGATGTCTATGTCCGCCCTCCCTTAATCCCATATATGATTAGGACTTTGAGTACGCTTTTTCTAATGACAGTTTTCAAAACGTTTCAGATGAATCCATGGATGTGGACCCCAACTACGATCCCTCAGATTTCCTAGCCATGCACAAGCCTCGCCAGAACCTTGGCGAGCCCAGCAGCTTGCAGGGTGCTTTCACCAACTTCCTCTCCCAAGAGCAGGATGATAATGGCCTGTACAATCCCCCCGAAGCCAGTTCAAGTGCCGCCTCCGGTTCAGCCATAGGAATGAGCCTACCGCCTCAGGAGGAAGATTCAATGGCCATGCAAATGGCGCCGGAAATGCCTGTCAATACCATGAACAACGGAATGGGTATCGATGATGATCTGGACATTTCGGAGAGTGATGAGGAAGACGATGGTTCCCGAGTGCGCATCAAGAAGGAGGTATTTGACGACGGGGAATACGCCTTGCAGCACCAGCAGATGGGACAGCCGTCAACGCAGTCGCAAATCTACATGGTGGATTCGTCCAACGAGCCCACGACTCTCGACTACCAGCAGCCACCGCAGCTAGACTTCCAACAAGTGCAGGGAATGGAGCAGTTGCAGCAACATGCGATGCCTCCACTGCAACCAGAGCAACTGCAGCAGCAACAGACGCCGCAAGGCGACAATGATTATGCTTGGACTTTCTAGTGATAAGGTATATTTGTCAGTTCTAAGAATGAAACATTAGGTTTAATTATAAGATCGAGCTTCACTGTAAAAATATTTTCTGTACCGATTGAAATTGATTGCTAAATATTCTCTGAAAAAAATATTATATCTTTTTGCCAATGTTTTCAGTTTTAAAATTTTATAGATTTACAATTTATCAAAGCCACTTCAAATAGGTTTTCTTTCAAATATATTTCCAATATCTATAAGTCCTAGAAAAACAAGTGTTATCATTACTTTTCAAAAAAACCAACTACTGTCTGAACCTAAATTAAATCTTTTCTGGTACCTAAAAGGCCTTAAATATGTAGATATTCGGATGTATCTTTTTTTAAGTATATGTTATAATAGGATTTACCAAAACACACGGTACAAAATGATGTTTAAAAAATACAATAGCTTTGGAATGGTACACAAGGTAATACTCTTCAGGGCCTTAGTTTACTTCAGCTACGGATTTCCCACTTGACCCCTACAAAAAACATACGTATCGGAGCTTTGCAGTTCCAGGCCGGACTGTCAATCGTTTAATAATTTATAGCTCGGTTCACAGTAACGTAATAACGTAAATCTTAGCTTAACTTGCACGTCACAGTCGTCCTCCTACCCGGTGGCATGCCGCCATCCTTAGCTTTTTCCCGGCTCCACCGATGCGCCCTATTGCTTTGTGAATTGTCGGGTTGCACTTGAGTGAGTTACAATGCCAATGGCATGTGGGAGTTTCCGTAGTGCGGATCTTACAGCAACTTCAGGTGGCCGGTAACACGGTCGATGTCCGCGGCAGCCGCTGGCCCCACGGCTAGCACAGTCTTGGAGTTAGGCTCTATTTGTGTGCGACCGGCGTCGCGGATGAGGCATGTGTTCAGCTGCTGGCGCTCGGCTGCCTTCTTGATGGTCATCAGCTCCGCCTCGCTCTCCACGCGAACGGCTATCTTGGCGCAACCACAGTTCTCCCACGCCCGCAGTAATCGAGGCGTCCTGACCACCGCCCGCTGGTAAGCACCCACCGCTCCGTGGCCACACTGTGCGGCAATCTTGCCCTTGCCCATCTTGAGGTCGTTGCGCACAACCAAGACCATCTTAAAGTTGTCGTTAAAGCCTCCATAGCCCTGCAATGTTAAGAAAATCCGGATTTACGTTTTTGTTTTATAAAATCAAGCTTTGGTTTTATAATTATTATAATTTGGTTTTGCTGTGCTTGTGCCTTATAAATATATGTACTTATTTCGAAAAATCATACAGCTTAAAAGAGGGAGTGGCATTTTGAAAAGTCCTACCGAACAAGATCATAAGGCCCAGAAATTGCACTTCTATTATTGTGACCGCAAGTGTGCATTCAATGTTGCATTTGGGTTTACCATAAGTTTCAAATACCAGGTGGAAATAAGGAAAGGACATTGGGAGGCTTTCAATACTTCCAAGGGCTTTTATTCTCACCTTATCGGCAACTGAAGCCTCGGAACCGCTGGACACCGAAGATTCCACCGAGAACGAGGCCGCCGCTCCCTCGGCGGAAGAGTCCTTAGCATCGCCTCTCTTCAGGGCGTAACGGTAGCCCACGAAGAAGGACAGCATCACAGCCAGCCCATTGATAATCTGCGTCGAGTCCAGCAGCTTGTCGCCCATCTTGCTTCGTTTCGTTGATATATATTTCGCGAGAAAAGGCAACCGATGGCGCTCACTTCACGTTTTCGCATGCGGTCACACCAAGTGCGTAAAACGTTACGGTCACATTGTGGTGACAGCTCGCCAAGATATCGATTGCTTGGTCCGGCAGCACTGTCGCGTATGGGGTAGTCTTTAATACTTTAATACTGTTGTGTTAAAAATATACTAAAAGAAAACGTTTAATTTAATAAGCCACTCCATCAATCAATATATTTTATTTAACATATATTTATTTATTTATTTATGTTAAAAAAAAAGGCTTACAAAATTAATGAAGCGTCATGAAGTTGCTTTTGTGTAGGATTTATCCTTCTTTAATTTTTTACTTATATTAATAACTTTTGATAAATATAAGTACCGAGTAACATTTAAAAGACATTTCTCTGGTTACTATACTTGGTTGTACTAATGCAAACTGCAAGTCACAAGCTTAACACTGCCAACACATCCAAATTTCATAAAAAAAAGCCGGGAGATTTTTATAAACAATAGTGTGGCCGAACAACAGTTCCACGGAGTTCTCGTCGCCCTGTCTGGCATCTCTGCCCAAACATACGTGTCTGAAATTTTCTGTCTTCGTGGACGAAGCCGAGAACATTTGTTGAGGACCATTTTGACTGCATTTATATAGGTTAATATCCTCCACAAGGACCCCAATAAAACAGCCGCAGCCATGGGCGTAGCCAGCATGTTGCAGATCGACGAGATGCTGGGCGACTTCAACAGAATGAACAAGCGTCAGGTGAGCGGCGCCACTTCTCCAGGCAATGCACCCATATAGCATCCTGATCCCTGCCTTTTCCCTTCCCACAGTCGCTGTACCAGGTGCTGAGCTTCGCCATGATCGTCTCCTCGGCGCTGATGATCTGGAAGGGCCTGATGGTGGTCACCGGCAGCGAGTCGCCGATCGTGGTGGTGCTCAGTGGCAGCATGGAGCCGGCTTTCCACCGCGGCGACCTCCTCTTCCTCACTAACTACAAGGAGGAGCCGGTACGCGTCGGCGAGATCGTTGTCTTCAAGGTGGAGGGCAGGGACATACCCATAGTGCACCGCGTCATTAAGCTGCACGAAAAGTGAGTTTCATGGGGCGGGATGGTATTTTTAAATATTTGAACAACTTGCACAGCGAATAGTTTATGTAGTTTACGTCTTTTCTATAGGGTTAAGGAACGTAAAGTATAGCAAAAACAGGGATTTTAGACTTTATCCTTAATAATTGATACAACTTTTTTTTATTTTAAATAAAATTTGTATTCAATGAACTGTGGCGGTCAAACTGTTCAGACACGTCATTAAATTGTTTTGAATTCGATTAAAACTTAAATGGTAATTAGAGCAAACATTAAGAAGTGGGCTCCTTGCGAAAGTACATATTAACCAAGCTAATATTATACTCATCCCAATCTTTCACAGGGAGGATGGATCCGTCAAGTTCCTGACCAAGGGCGACAATAACAACGTGGACGACCGAGGCCTGTATGCACCCAACCAGCTGTGGTTGACCAAAAAGGACATTGTGGGCCGGGCCAGGGGCTTCCTGCCTTACGTGGGCATCATCACGATCTTCATGAACGAATATCCCAAGGTTAAGGTAAGTTGGAAGACTTTTGTAATGTGCTCCCCACTAAGCCCGAATTTCCATCTTTCCAGTGGGCCATTCTCTCTATTTTGGCCATTTTCGTGCTGCTACATAGGGAATAGATCGATTCGCTCTTATTTTGTAGGTACATGTTATAAGTAGGAAGTGCACAATCTCGAGCCTGTCTGCATTTTCAAATTCCTTACCACCCCAACAGTAAGACCTTTGTGCGGAGTTGAGTTTCAATAAAGATACAAGTAACACTTTTTAATGGTTCTCTGACTTCTCATAGGCTAGGAGCTGCTGCTTGAGGGCTGTGCCCCAGTGGTACTTCGAAGCTCCATTTTGGGACACAATCCTGTGGCACGGAATGAGGACTGCCACCTCATTCCGTGCCACAGTTGGGAGTAGGTGCAGGTCTCCCCCATTTTCATATCCACCAGAGCTCGCCATACGGACAGCTGGAAATCGGTTCCAAAGATAGCAATGGTAACCGCATCCGAGTTTTCCTTGTCGCCTCCGAACAGTTTATCCGCAACCAACTTGACCCCATCATCGTCCTTCCAGAGTTCGGATTTTGGCCACCGCTTTCGGACTTCATTGTAGGTGCTCAAAATGTTCTTATCCACGAAATGAAGCACAGTAATTGCGACTTGAGCTTTCAAATCCCCGGTTATTTGATCACTTACTCCCATCATTATCTGACCGAACTTGGTCTCCAGGAAACTGAATCGGATGGTCTTTGGCGGATCCTTTAGTGTCACCAAATGAACCTGGGTGTTTTGGGCAATCCACATCATCATTTATCGCCTAATTTAAGTCAAGTTTAAAAGAATTTCGTGTTTGCTAAAATATAATGTGACCGTAGGTAGAGCGCCAAAAAACGGGGTTTCTTGTTTTAGCCTTTTCACAAACCTTTTCGGACTTTTTTCTTCGGCTTGCTTTTGTTATGCGAATGTAATGTTGCCATACGGCGGCAGTGGTACAATTGCCCACGAATGTTTTCACAACATGAGTTTACACCAATAACTTACTGTTTTTATATATCTAATTTACAAAAACCGATATGGTTTCATAAATATATGTTTTTAATTACCTACGAAAATCCCAATGTGTACTGCTAACCAATTAAATGTAGGTTTCTAGGAAGTAGGTTGTATAGCAAATGTATAAATCTAACTCTTTTTAAAATAAGTTTAAGTTACTTAAGTACATGTCTTGCATTTTTAAGGAATGCGTATTTATTTTGTCTGAAAATAAGCCGCGAAAGCGAAATATCTTTTAATATTCGTTGTTAGGGTTGAATTCGCTTTAGTTATTAGACAAATAACTTTTTAATAATAATTGATCTGTAATATTTATCTGATAATTTGTAGAGCAATTAGCTAGTATTCGTTATCATTTTTAAAATTGCAGCTATTTAATATATATATAGTTATCATCATGAATCATTCATAACGAAAACAATAGAATAGAGTCTCGTTTTGATTTCAGGTTTCTTACAATCTAAAATGTGGTCTTATAACCCTATCTATCAACCACATGCAAAACCACTTTGGTCAGAGGACTTTGATGAATTTCCTGGATAATTTTCTTGTTGCAAAATGATCAATAAATCCCCAAAAACTCACATTTTCACAAACATGTGGATACATTTAAATATACAAAACTTAATCCCCCAGCCATATCTGTCCATAAAATGATAGATTTGCATATGGTATTTCGACCATGGGTCTCGGTCTGCAATTAATCAAGATATCATAGGCAGTATTTGGTTTGGTCTGTTTGTCGGCTGCCCTTTCCAGTAGAAATTCCCAGTCGAATGTTACTTCTGTTATCGGTGTACTTGGAAATCGGAGATTACCAAAAATAAATACGTCCACAATTCATCAGAGATATGTTTGTAATGCCCACACTCGCAATAACTTGTCCACATTGTTCATTAACAATTTGCAATCGGGTTTCGTTTATTGTTTCTTCATACAAGTGGTGTACAGTTATAATTATATTACAATTAGGACTAGATTAAATATACAGACGTACATCAAGATTGATTTACCGATTACTTTTAAGCACAAAACGAATAACTCGGGCATCCTAAAACTTATCTAATAATACTACAGACGAGTTGTGGTGGTGGCGGGTGGAATATAACTAGGGGTTCTACTATAAATAGTTATTGGAAAGTTTTAAATAGTTTAGATTTCTGTTTTGATTCTGTTTGTATCAATATTTTGTCAATTGCTCTGCGTGCTTTTAAGTAAGTTTCTTTTTAATTTAACCCTGAGTTCAGTTTAAGCTAGTCCAATAAACTTCAGCTGCGGCAATGCGAAATGTTAGTGTAAGTGTATGTATTTACAGCCCCTAGATGAATATGGCACCTAGATTCCACTAGTTGCTAGCGTTTGATTACAGATTTCAATTTGCTATGTGTGTGACATATTATTTATTTAATTATCTCGTACCCTTACCTAGATTATTTCTTTCTGATCTTCTGTGCACTTTCTATTACTTTATCACAACGAAATGCGTCAATATTTTGGCGGCAGCAACAACAATAGCATAACAATTACAACCATCAACGAAGAAAGCCCTTCAACTTTGTTGGGTTGTGGGTGCTGTTAGTGTCATGGCTGCTGTGGGTGTTGAAGGTGCTCCTGTGGCCAGGTCGTTCCCGCCCAGATCGCTGCCCTGCGACTTCATCTGCAGTTCCGGCGGCTGTGCTTGCTGCTGCTGCGGCGGCTTCTCGCTGATCACGGACGTGGAGTGCTGCGTCAGGATGTCCGCCGGAATGAGGCCCTCCTTCACGCGCTTCTTCTGCTTCATGCGGCGGTTCTGGAACCAGATTTTCACCTGCAAGATAGATATTTTTAATCAAAAGTCGAACCAATTTACATTTTTGCCTCAATTTATTATAGGTATATGAATTTGTACGGTGTTCTAAGAGCATGTTAAAAACAAAGAAGAACGCTATAGTCGAGTTCCTCGAATATCAGATACCCGTTACTCAGCTAGTAGGAGTGCGAACAATACAGTTCAACATTCGGACATGGCCAGATCGACTCGTATATTGATTCCGATCAAGAGGGTTAGAGGGTTTCTACCTGCTCCATAGTTATCAATATTATTTTATTTTACTAGTTATTTTAATAGTTATAATATTTTACTAGTAATGGGTGTAATAATAAATTATGCATTATAATTCAAGCTACTTAGAACTAAGTAATAAAAACTTTCACAACATCGCTGAAACTAAACTTTTTAAGACCCCTAAAAGTTTTATATACGATTCTACCAAAGACACTAGAATAATAAGATGCGTAACGGCCATACATTGGTTTTGCACTACGCAGCCACTTTTTTGGTGGCGGCAGTAATTGTGTAGTGTATGCACCGGTGTATGTATGTATGTATGTATGTATGTATGTATATATGTATGCATGCATGCATGCATGTATGTATGTATGTATGTATGTATGTATGTATGTATGTATGTATGTATGTATGTATGTATGTATGTATGTATGTATGTATGTATGTATGTATGTATGTATGTATGTATGTATGTATGTATGTATGTATGTATGTATGTATGTATGTATGTATGTATGTATGTATGTATGTATGTATGTATGTATGTATGTATGTATGTATGTATGTATGTATGTATGTATGTATGTATGTATGTATGTATGTATGTATGTATGTATGTATGTATGTATGTATGTATGTATGTATGTATGTATGTATGTATGTATGTATGTATGTATGTATGTATGTATGTATGTATGTATGTATGTATGTATGTATGTATGTATGTATGTATGTATGTATGTATGTATGTATGTGTGTGTTAGATGCACAAACTAGTAAAAATTGTCTTAATTAAAGCCTGAAGAATGTTTAACTTACTGTCGGAATCCATAGTTATTGCCGCTTTTAATATTTGTTTAGGAAACATATTTTCTTGTAGCCTTATAATTCCCAACTAGTTCTAGTGAAGACTGTAAGGGATGTCTTCTAATTTAGAGTCGCAAAATAGTTCAAGTAATCTCTCTTACCGGTCGAGCAGTGAGTGTAGTGTATGTGTTCTTAAGTGTGATTACTTGCAAGATCAAATTGGCATCTCTTGAACAAATAACCGGGCAAATGTTATTCATACTTGTTACATACATGTTATTCATATTGAAATGTTATATTAATTTTAAAATATTTATTCATAAAAAATATTTAAAATACAATATAAAATTATTGTAAAGAAATTGATTACCCTACATTGAAAGGGATATATATTTTTATGTTTATTCGTATACAAAGTGCTACTAAATTAATCTCGAGCTGTAAGTAATTAAATAATAAACTATTATTGTCATAATTATATTAGTGAGTGAAATAGTGAGGTTTTTAAAGTGGGTAGTAAACATTGTCTTAAATAAAGCCTATAAAATGCCCGAAACGTATTTGAAACGCATTGGCACAATGGCAACGTATGAATCAAACGTATGAATCAAAATCTGTCCTGTTTTTCAGCCCGAAAAAATCGTGTGCAAAAAAATCGTATGGCGTTACGCATCTTATTATTCTAGTGTCTTTGATTCTACTGAATAGGTTTTCAAAATTAAAAATTGTGGAAGTAATTAATCAATTTTCTCACCTGGGTTTCATTTAGCTGCAACGTATTGGCGATTTCGATGCGTCGCGCCCGCGTCAAGTAGCGATTGAAGTGGAACTCCTTTTCCAGCTCGGTCAGCTGCTTATTGGTGAAGTTCGTCCGGCCGGAGTTGTTGGTGTTGCTGGATAGGCTGCAGCTGCTCAGTCCGGATCCGGATCCGCTGCCCAGACCCACGCCCATGCCATTGGGATGGGCACTACCCGCCGTCGCACTGTTGGCCATTATCAGGGAGTTCTGCACGGCAAGGACGCCACCGATCCCGGGGGATCCGTTGCCCCCAACGACCACAGGACCGCTCCCGACGCCGCTGCCCCCGCCTCCTCCTCCGCGGCACATGTCCAGCTGTCCATTCATCTGGTAGTCGTGTATGCTGGCGATTCCACTGGCAGGTAGTTTCGGTGCTGGAAATGTGAGAGGAGGGTTGTCAGGCACACCGGGCGAAATTTGTATACCATAAAGCTATTAAATGCTGATAAATATTCAGTTAGGAACCAAATTGCTAAGGGGCAAGATCCATCATTGGAATAGTTACCGTTTTGAAAACCGGCAGAATAAGTAAACTTGTCTATCCCTTAAGATATTAACTAGCGACTGAAAAAAGGGGTTATCTAATCACGTAGATACACTTGTCCAACTTCAGTTTTGTGAACTAGTTAATGAAGCTATAAGGGAATCTAAGTCCAAATACTATGCTGTTCTCTTTTGTGTATATTCAACATAATACTAGTATATATTTTTTTCCTCCGTGTAATATTGAGTTTTGTCCTCTTCTTTGTTGTGGTTCCATGGCAAAGGGAGTGAGATTCAGGTGAGGAGGCCAATCCCTAACGCTGATCCTTAGCTGTCGCAGCTAATCATTGTGAGAGTTCCGATCCTCGCCGGCTCATCTACCCCAAACCCTCTAGCCCAAAACTCTCTCCTTTCCGTTTGACTTTTGGCTTGTTTGCGTGATTTTGCATTTTATTCATAATTTGACATGCGCCCCGTGGCTAAAGCCGACGATGATGAAAATAATTCCTTTTGGCCGTTTGCCTTTCCATAGAAGGATTTAACGCGCTCAATAGGTTTGTTTGAAAATATTGGGATTATCCTGACAGCGGGCATTCGGTAACCTATCTCTGGATCTGCGATGCTGATATTAGCTCTCACTTCGTTTCGTGGGAGGGTCAGGAATTATTAGAATTGTAGGTTTGCCTCGGACCTGGGATCCTATGTTAGTCCGGAAATTTGTTTAAGACGTGTTCGTTGGGAAAGCGAATAATTGCAGTTTCTTAAAAATGTTTTTCGTTTTTTGTTCTCCTACTTCTTCAATTTGTGCCCACTAGAAGAGGGTTTTGGAAAATATAAAGGATAGATTTTATGCAACTAAAATAGTTTAAATAAAACGTTTACGTTTTCACGTGGTTTAATTTATGGAGTGTGGTGTGGAAAGGTGTATAAATCGTTAGCCCTGAAAGCTCATAAAAAACCTTTTAGCACAATCATAAATCTTAAGAAAGTTTCCTAGAGCACAAACCAATTAATGGGCATTATGCGACCATCAGCCAAGAACCTCAAGGGTTCCTTATGGTCAGATGATGACGACGATCAAAGGTGCCGATTGGTGGCCATATTAATGCGGAATGAACGATCCCGTTTAGTTATCGAGTTGGTTTAACAGTTTTTAGTCAATTGGCCGCTGCGAGTGCTATAAATCAAACCAGAAGCCACGGGCAATAAATAAATTTTACTGGGCCGCATGAGTGATGAATTTATGACTGCTCCTCCGAGTGCTACCGGTACCCAAATTGGCATCCAGTCGCAGTATCCGCACAGTAGCTCGCGCGCACCTTTCGGGGATTATGGAACTGTGTGCGGATGCGGATCGATCGATAAGTGCGCAGTCGGGCTGGAAACTCGAAACTCAAAACTCGCACGCGGGTCTACTCCTATCGTAATGCACACAGGAATGTCTGAGAAAACAAGCCCCAGGATTACCGTGCCGAGTGTCTTGGGCTGCATTTGAATTTCCCGCTCACAGTCAAACAAACTGAGCAAACCCCGCGGCAGTTGCACTGCAGTCACAGTCACAGTCACAATCGTAATCGCCTCCACGTTCACATTCCCTCTCACGGTAGCAGCAACAGCAGCACAGACTGCGACAGTTGCGAGTTACTGCATTCCGGTTAGGCTGTCAATGTGCCGCCGCCAACCGCTGAACAGTGGTGTGGGAATAGTTAGAAAGTCATTCGTGGATCAGGAGATTTGGGGCATGAAAGCCATCCCCTGTTCTAGGCACTAGGTTTACCATATGGATGGATGGATGGTAGGGATTCAGAAGTTCCTTTCCTTTGATGCTTTCCTCTTACACTGAGACAAAAATACAAAATACTAACATTTTTTGGTTTTTACTCTGCTTAAAAGATGTTACTACTTAGTAGTAGACTTTTCTTTTTGAGATGACTTTTTTTGGTTGGAATAATTGATGTCCCTTAAATCCTGCAGATAGCGACGATAACTTTACTTCAGAGCGTAAGACACCAAGTGACCCCTTCACATCTCCTGCTTCACTGTACGGTGCGGCCTCCGCTAGAGGCACGCTTGCCTCGCTCGATGCTGGTGTCGCTCGGGTTGTCAAACATGTCGCGGCCAGTTGGCGGCACTGTCGCTTTTGTCCGGCGCCAAACGATATCTACTTTGTAATATTAGTTTTAGAGAGCATTATCGGGGATCGCTTCCACTTCAGTGCTCCGAGTGGTGGGCTCGGCGGGGAGAGGGGTAAGTGGAGCGGTGGAAAGTGGGGAAACTCCGCGGCGTGCAGAGCCTCCCTCCCTGCTGAAGGCCATCTTGAGGGGGTGGGTGGTACGTTGGGCTGGCACCATGGCGCTTAGGTGACACTGTTGACATTCAATGTAAACACCAGTGTTGCTGCAGCAGGATTTACCGAAGGGCGGGTGGAGTGGTGAAGCAAGGAGGGGTAACTGCAGCAGCGGGGGCGCCACGCCGAGTCAATGTAACTTGATAACATCTCAACTAGCGGTAATTACAATTGCAGGTTTAACGCAGCCAAGCGATTGTTGACTTTTGCATATCTTCCTGTTCATCGCAGTTCTCGTGTGAAAAGTTGAACGGGGAAAATCCGTGAAAGACAATCCAGCCGGATTGTCCTAGCCAAGTCCTCCAAAATGAAGGCTACATATGCAGAATAATTTAAATAAAAGGCTTAGAGAAACCACAGACCTATAATAAAAACAACATATATACCGGGATAGCCCAATGCAAAGCAAACTTGATAAAACACTTAGTTTGCAAATAAATCTTACAAATAGCTTGAAAAGATAAGTAACAACTAGGTTTTAGGATTTCGATTATATTAGGATCAGCTTTCACTATTTTATCGACATAATGAATTGTTCGTCACCTTTTATGTGTTTCCCACATCATTTCAGTCGCAGTAGTCTACTCTCTGTCCTTGAATTCCACGCCCAGTACAGTTCCCTGGGCCGTGAGTCATCCGCTGTAGAACGGCCATTTTGATATGATATAACGATATTATCGCTTCTATTATGCAGGCGCCACTGCCACTTTACGGAGATCCCCACTCGCCCACATTCACACACTCGCTGGCAGTCTGTGAGCCGGGTGGCATTACATGGGGTCCGTTTTGGGGCGATTAAGTGGGCCTGGGACCGAACCCGTCGGACGGACGAAGTGCGTGGAACGCCGTCTGGCCGCCGCAGCGGCTCAATTGATAATAATATTTAACTCGAGTGCAAATAGAAAATTATATTTCAATTAAAAGTAAATTGTTTTAATTGTTGATTAAACACAACAGCAACAGCAACACCAACATCCACGTCAACGTCATGTGGAAAAGGTTTCGAGAATCTACTCTAATCTGGGGCCATAAAAGCGCACGAAAAGCTGACCAAAAATGCTGACGATCGGGGCTTTGGTGACGAAGTGATTGATCACCTGCGGGTAATTTATGGCCCCTTGGCATGGAACCAAAAGGGCCAATATAGACCATAATATTTTGCAATGAACGGAGGCAGTGTTCTTGGCCTCGGACGGGACAGATGGTCAGACTGACCAGAGGTCAGTCGGCACTAATTGAGTTGGCAATCTCAGCCAATAACCCTTTTCGGGGGAGGGTTGACCCAGCTAATTAGGCACAGTCAACACTCATTGGCATTTCGAGGTCCGAAGTTAGGAGCATCGGACACGGACGCGGACTCTGACTTGACTAAACTGACATAATCCCGTCGAAAATCCACGAGCCATGTCCATTCATTCTGTCAGTTTTATTGGCCGCCTGTCAACCCGTGACTTTTTCCACATGTCATGCGATGATGCAGTCGTATCGTGGTATCTACGTTTCAAACACGAATCGTGAAATGCACAAAAACCGAATTCTCATAATTGTATCTACAGATCATCGTTCCCCAAAAAATGTACAACCCGCTGCCCTGCCACAGAGGTGAGCTAAAGTTTTCCAGCTTAATTGAAAGTTTTGTACGGGCATAGCAGGCAGACGTCCCGCGGCTTATTAGTCACGATGTCTAACACACATGGAAATTGTTCGACAAAGGGTACGAGGTTTTCGAAAGAAATCCACGCAACGAAACCAATGGGAGTTGTCTGAGTCAGATATTAACCCTCCGTAGGGAACTGGAAAATGTCTCAACTGGCGCCCGAACACATTTTCTTAATCTTGTTAACTGTCTCTGCTGTCTCCCCGGAAGAAGTTTTCAATTTCTTATCGAACATCTCAATCGTGTGTTTACCTTTCGGAAAATTATGTCGCAGTCGCACACAAGAACACAACAACACAAAACTCGATTTAAATATTTACACAGATACTCGAATGCACATATTTGTGTTATCTTAATAGCAACGTTTTGGCTACTGGTTTCTGTTTATTCTACTTGTGTTTCCATTCTATAGATTACGCTGAATTCCGGTAGCCATCTGATAGACCCGAAAATCAAAATAGTCGACATTATTTGTACTCCATACTTTTTGCCGATAAGAAATTGCCCAACATGGGGACCTAAAGTGCGTTTGAGGCAGACAATCAAATTGGGCCTGTTGTATCCAGGTGACAGTGGTATGTCTAGGATAATATGAAATGTTGAGAATGATCTTTGCTGCAGAAGAAGTAAACTTATTATTGCTGGGAAGATGCAAAGTGGCTTTTCTTGAATACCATATTTTGTGCACCTATTGGAGTATCATATACAATCAAAATATTCCTATCACATGTTGTAGGATGAATATATTTAATGTTTCTTTTCATTTTAGTCCTTAGAACTTTAGTTAAGTTTGACAATTACTTGTTGGATTATCTTTCCCTCTATGGCGATAATTGGCTGAAGCGGCTTTCTTATTCCCCAGCCGATAGCAGTGCCAACTCCACGTT